TCTGGGCTCTTAGGAAATCTCACTCCGCTTTTCCTGCTCAATGGTCTCTTTGGTCGGCAGGGTGTTCTTCTCCTGCGTCTCCGTCTTCTTCAGCTTGGCCTTATCGAAGCTGGCGATTTCCCCCATGTCTGCTTTGTCTGCCATTTTCTTAAAACAATCCGAAAGCGTTTCGCTCCGAGCCCGAGCTCCTGGTGCTCCCACTCGCGTTGCTGCAGCAAGAGACCACCTTGTTTCTTTTTTATATTACAAGTTCACCAATATATCAACAGGTTCCAACGAATTCATAGCTTTTATCATTCAGAAAGTACATATTCTTCTCCTATGTCCCATCCTTGTTCAGAAAAATATCCTATTAAAATTTTCAGCATTAATTCTTCAGTCTTACTAAAGACTAGCAAAAACTGACCCCATATCTATTTTGTCATCTATTATTATTCCCCCTAATCATCTTGCTTCTTAGTGACTTACATTCCTCTTTTTTCATCCTAAATATCTTCTTTGCATTTTCCTTTCACATTGCAGAATAACAGTTAATAACAATTGAATATAGGGTTCAGAGTATTAATAAATGTTAAAAATGTCAATTTAATATCTGTCACACCTAAGCAATATATGATTGGATACATTGATGCTGTTTTTAAAAGACATATTTATTTCCTTAAAACATAGGGCATGAGTCCAAATCACTTAAACAGCTACAGGGGTAAATAATATCTCATGACAAATAAAGCTTAAAATTTATCACTGGAAGGCAGTATCTTACTATAACAATCTTCATATAAATTATAATCTCTGCCATCCTGCTTGACCTCAACCCTCAACACCAAAAAGTGAAATGCAGGGAAATACAAGGAAAAAGTAAATATACATACACAAGAATATGTGAAAACATAGTAAAAAAGAAACCCTCAATTTATGCCAAATATTCCAGAAAAGATCCAAGAAGTTACATGGGATAAGAAAGCAAATTGTGGGGCCGGGGAGATGGCTCACTGGAATAAGCGCTTCCCTCGCAAGCACAAGGGCCTGAGTTCAATCCCCGGTTCCACCAAAAAAAAAAAAAAAAAAAAAAAAAAAAAAAAA